AGTCTAAAACACAGCTCAACGGTATCCTTGAGACAAACTAAGATGGAATGCAGTTCATAATACGCATCGATGTCATTAACGCTAAACTCTTAAATGAAAGAGATAATGTGGCATAACTAATCATAGATCTAACCATGTTAAGTGGAATTCTGTTATTCCTATTTGACACCTAAATGCATTTAGCGTCAATTGCGAAAAACTGGTACATAATACCCTCATTGACCATATAGTCTTTGCACTATCCCAAGAAATACTCATATCCTCGATCAGATCGAAGTGTCTTGATAAGTTTACCTAATATGTGCTCCACATCAGTCTTAACCTTCTCAGAATATACCAAGAGTTTAAGACTTGTGTTGCATTAGATAAACTTATCCAAAACGTGAGTAATCTTGCTTGGATGTTCATAAGACCACACGTGTCAGTGTGTACCGACTCCAATTGTCCTTTATGTCTATTTCATCTGGCCGATTAATCCCTTAGAGTTATCTATCATTCAAAACAGGATTCACAAGTTTGGTTTAGGCTCCTCTGCCTCACTAGGTAATAAACCTTCTTTGACCAATCTTTGAATCTCATTTTGATTGATTACAATCCAAAAATTGACACTAAAAATACAATGAGTCAGGAATAACAATTTTTCTCTTAACATTCAATCTAGAAGATGCAACATTAGTTTTTACATCCTGCAAATCTTAAGAGTTTGTGATTATAGTATATTAACCATCTTTTAATGCACCAGAAGCAATAGCATATCTATTCAATTTTATAAAACCAGTTTTACAAAATAACAATACAGTTTTTATAAACCACAAGTGAAACAAAAATTAGATTGCGTCTAACTTCTGTGCATAAAGATAGTTCTCTAATACTAATATCCTCATACTTTCTAATTTCAGATGTAATACTCCCACTGACCTAACTACAACCTTGGCATCAGGTCAAAAGATAAATATATATCCATATCATCAAGGCTTCTGGATTCCTGAAATCCTTACGATGAATTGCAAACATGTTTAGTGGCTCCAGAATCTATCCATCAGGAATTAATAGATGCAACCACATAACATGGCTCAATGATTAAATATATATTTTCCTATGCCACGTCATTACTTAGACAGTTCGTCCTATAGTGTTTTAGTTAACGGCAAAATAAACAGTTTCATTCGCCCTCAACATACACTGCCTTATTCCCTTTAACCTTTTAGATACATATGTTTTGTGCTAGCCTAGTCCTATTATCATCCTTCTTCTTTGCTTTGCCCGTCCACTTGGGCCTAGAAGAAGATAGTATAGACTAGGTTAGATTGATAGGAACGCCCATACTCTTGAATATCCCTTCATCTGTTACCAATTCTATAAGAATATCAGCGAGTGTGAACTCAAACTGATTCCTTATTTAGTTCACTCTAACAGAGTCGAACGAGTTTGGTAACAAGGCAATAATCATGTCAACTTGAAACTTACCACCCAAGTCAGCCCTATTGATCTCCAGCTAATTTTTAAATAATAAACAATCATTTTTCAAAATTCGATTTCATACTGGAGTTCCTTAGGCTATCTTGATGCTATTCAAGTCTGACATAGTACTTTGGCATACTCTCTATCTAATCTCACCAAAACATCTTATTGAATTTTAACATGATGCTTGAAGAAAATAAAATAATGTAAATGTTAGTTTTGGAGCGTATTCGAGGTAAACTCTAGAATATTACACAAAGTCATCTCATTTGCCTTATTTCACTTATTCAAAGCATTAATGTTCTCTTGGGTATCTTAAAGTAAAAGGATTAGGTTTAGGAGTAGTAAATACATTTATACCCTTACATTGTGAATAAAATATCTAAGTTCCTTTCTCAGTCAATATTAATGAGATCTAGTTACATTGAATATGTAAGCAAGCAGATAAACTGGATTAGACATAATTAATCTGAATATAAATGCATTCATACAATATGCAAGGTGAATTATTAATACTGTCATGCATATTTAAAATTAAAATGAGCTTGTTAACCACATAATACAATAAATCTCAACCGAACAAGACATCATTATCATTATTGGTGATCAATCCCTTTTAATTAATGCAGGTCCCTCAACTCTGTAGCATAATAAATCAACCAATCAATATGTCAATAACTTATCATGTTGGAGGAGTTCATTATTACTATTGTTAAGATTCATTTACTATTAAGCGAGCACTTCCATTAAAATAGTATGTGGGTCCCTTAACCACTGCATGAAAAATCGAATAACCAATACGCCAATAACTTATTCGGTTGGCGAAGTTCATTATTGCTATTGGCGAGCAAACCCATCATTTCCATATCTCTTAAAACAATGCCTTGTCTATCTATATGAAATGATTCCCGATTATGTTTAGCCTTTCTAAAATCACCTAGTATAGACCACTCCGTTGGGGAGCTAACACTATTGATTTTAGATTGAGTGTATAACGTTATTAAAGCTCTAATGAAAAATAAAATATTAAATATCTTGTCATTATAATCTAGACTCTTTAAATCATGCGTAGGGCCTTATTTTTAAAGATCTAATTATAATGAACATTTAATATTATTATTTTCATGAGATAACCATTCTTGTAATATTAAGACTCTTCAAATCATGCGTTGGGCCTTATTTTTGAAGACCTAATTACAATGGTGTTAATAACGAAGGCCATGGGGCAATGTATAAAAATCCCCGTTCCCACTCAATTTTTAATCATTCATAATTAGGGTTTTCATTTTATTCATTTACATGATATAATGCATGCAAAACGTCTTGATTTTAATCCAATTAAATTTAGAAAATATTTGGACTTTAAATGATTCACTAATATTTAATTTGAGGCACACTTTTTTAAATAATTTACAAAAATAATTTTTCGTTTCCCAATAAGTGCCCTCTAATTAATTAGTAATCAAATCCAATTAATTTTCATAATTTAACTAATATAAATCAAATCATTTAAATAAATATCATGGATCCAATGCATGAACAATAATAATTAGCAATTAATTATTTCATGCATCACATACAACAATAAATGACAGATAAAGCAAATTAAATGGCCAATGGATTCAGCTTTTAACATTTAATTGCTCTAAGTATTGCGCAAGGGCCCATCATTAGCCGCGTCACATGGGATTATTTCCCATCAATCCCTCTTGATCTCCGGCCAAAACCTTGCCGCCGACAACTCTCCGGTCGCCGGAAAATCGCCGAAAAATTCCAGAAATTAAATTAAGCCTCAAAAAATTTCAGAAAAATTTCAAAAAATTCGAAAAAATTCTAGAAAATTACTGAAACATAATTTAACCTTTTTAGACCTTCTTGAAGCTTCATAGCATTCTTTGATGAATATTACATGGCTTTAAAAATATTTACAACTTGAAATACAATGGAAAAAATAAATTACATCATTGAACTTTCAAACGGCTAAATCAAAACTTTAATTACATTCATCCAAAGATAAAATTACATTCAATGAACCTATAAACTTCATCCATGGCCCAAACACAAATCATCATCCATTCACAATTATACATACATCATTATCTATCAATATATATCAACATATTAAATCATACATCAACATACATCAATAAAAAATATATATGAATATAATTTTTGGATCCATGAATGATGAATTTTGATAAAAACATGATCTCTAGTAATGAATCAAACCATGCTCTGATACCACTTGAGGGAAACGTGCTAGTTTTAAAAACTTTTTGAGGGATTTAAATTCATAGATCTTGATTCATTATATAGAGACAAGTTTTATGCAAAAATAAAACATGATGTATCATTCAATTAAAAGATTGAATACTTACATCAAGGTTTGAGTAAACCTTAGATCTCTCCTCTAAAGTGAATGTTCTCACTTATTGTAGATCCCTTAGCAAGATGCATTCTCCTTGAATCTCCATCTTCTTGGTAATTGTTTTACCTTTACGAATCACTCATATGCCTCCATGAATGACCTTGAAAAATTAGGCTTGTGAGAGCCTCCATTAGATGAGAACATAAACCCTAATTTTCTAGAGAGAGAAAATTTATTCATTTTTCCTTCTTTCCAAAAATCACACCCAAAATATACATAGACCATGTATATTTATAGGCAACATAAAAATAAAGAAAAGGAAACCACAAATCCTTCTCAATCTCTAATTCATATGTCTCAAATCTAATATGATTCCAATATCAAGTTGGGATATGAGTGAGAATCCATTGGGCCTATTATTTTATTGGCTACAATGAATTAATAATTGGCCCGGTCCATGGACCCAATTCAATTAATTCATAAATTAATTTCTACTCCACTAAAAGAAATTAATTGAACTCCAATTAAATAATAAATAACCTCTAAGTCAATATTGCACTTTGACCCCTCTATTCTTAATTAGTTATCGGATAAATAAAGCCATCAATCCGACTATTTAATTAATATATTTATTTTGGTACCATTGATTATTTCTAGCTCGATCACAATAAAACATTTGTTTGACAAAAATAATAATTTAAATAAATAAATATATAATAAATCATTTTGTCTAAAAACACACGAAGGCCTTCGAATTTACTTTGTGATCAACCATAATCAATACAAAATAAATACAAGTAACAATGATGCAAATATTGAAAATATAACCCTCTAACTATCAATTACATAACTACCCAAAGTGTCGGTCTAAGGATCCCGAAAAATCCGTCGAACAAATCAAAGTAATTATTAATTAATAAAAGAGTATAATTTTTTCATGCTTAAGAGTCAAATGCCATGACGATGATAGGGAGCAATTGCATACGACGGCTCTCGCAATATATCTCAACCTAACGCAGATCTAGTTCAAATCTTAATTAATTATGAGTCCATCCATAATTACCGACTATGAACCATTTATGATTACTATTTATATATCATGCATTGATTGCCATCACATACATATATATAAATATTTCTTGTAATCAAATGGACACTATCAATTCTATAATGAATCGAAATATAATACATTGAATTCACTAATTGTATAAAACATAAATATTTCAGAAACGTCAGGAACATATGTCACTTTAATCCAAACAGGAATTTGCTATGCTAGGGCATATAAATCCCAACAGTCTGGTCGCCCAAGACCAAACCCTGTCTCCTGAAGACTAAGGCCTGGTTCTTCCGCGCCTAAATAAACGGGTGGGTCTCCACCCACCAAGGAGATCACCACCAACAAGGGGGTCCCTACCTATTAGTAAAGCCTCTACCACTGAGAATGTCTCTAGCAATGGAGTCTCATTACTTCGCCTGTTCATACAATCAGTGTGGCCTTCTACACCCAAGAATATATCGAAGCCCTCACGTCCAAGGAGGTCCAATGTCCCTCAAGATCCCTTGTTCAATGAGGGTTGTATTCCCATGGATGTTCCCAAGTCAAGGGCGATCATTGTGATACCCCCTAACTTCGAAACACAGGTTGATCAGGTCTGCACATAAAATCAGGGAATATCAGCCAATCAATAATAAACAAGCACAGAATAGAAGAGGAATAAAAATTAAATAAATAAATAACGCTAAAAGGGAAATCTAAATTAATAATTAAATAATAAATCCTCTAATACATTAATCTCCAATAAATTCTCATTATAAGAATAAAACCTCCAGTATTCAACTTGGGAATCCATACAATGTGGACCCCTAATAAAAATCCCAACTAAAGACGAAACAAATAAATGTCTAACTCAGAAATAATAAATGATAGCGAAAACACAGTGGAGGTCCTACGTCTATGACACCGGAAGAGTGATGAAGTCTGGCTTCTGCTCTGCACGAACTGACTCTACGTCTGGAACTATTGAGGACCTGAAAAGATAACAACAAAGGTAGGTCAAAACCCACGAACAAGCCCTTTCTACTACATCCCAAACAGAACCCCGATAAACGATCCATCCTAGTCTGACTCATGCAATAACTACATAAGTCAATATACATAAGTATACACACTATAGATTTTCACTGGATCATAAGACAGCCTCAACCGGATAGTAGGTCTCATGCAAGCGCACACAAGGTGGTCATAAGTACATCTTCTACCAGTGCACACACATCCCTATATCCAGCTACTCATCTCACCTGGCAATATACGCCAACCCTAACCATCGATCCCGAGATCTCAAGCTCGTATCATGGTACCCAATTAAAATATATTTATGTAAGTAACTATAGCCATATCCTGACAATGGCACAATATAAAGTCATAACCATATCCTGACAATGGTATGACTACACGTATAGGTCTAGACTTAATAGCCAGCCCATATATGTATCAGCAAGCCATATCCTAACAATGGTGCTTCTAAGACCATATCCTGACAATGGTCCTACTATGCAAACTTATATCAAAGTATGCATAAGTTCATATACATATATAATCACATGTATAATTATAATCATTCCGTAATCTGTAACAATTGATATAGCAAAATAAAAAATTATAAATATCATACAAGAAACTTGCAATTCAAATAACTTCTTAACTACAAACCTATAAACATGATAATTAAACCTTACCTTCATCCGAAATTATTAACATAACTTATTAAACCCACTTTAACAAATAAACCCACTTAAACAAAGTAACAATTTTTATAAAAGTATTAAAAATTTCATGCAACCAATAATGCAGCCTGGATTACTATTACTATTATTATTATTATTTTTTTTTTTTTTTTTTTTTGATACCTTACCATGCAACTTACAGCTTAAAACAAATAACCCACTCCTACAGTAATTTAATCAAATGCAATTAATGATTTAAATTGCAAAATCAATAAACCCAGTCCTACAGTAATTTAATCAAATGCAATTAATGATTTAAATTGCAAAACCAACAAACCCAATCCTACAGTAATTAACCAAATACAATTAATGATTTAAATTGCAAACCAAACAAACCCACTTACACCATCAATTGCAAGACAAATAGACTTGCAAAATAAATTTCAAAGATTAAATCAATTGCAAAGAATGAATCAATAAACCCTCAGTAAAGGAAGAGGACAAAAAGCTGTTGATGGTCCGTACAAATTGGGTAGTTATTTTACTCAATTGCAATAATTTTGTATGAAATAAAAAAACCAGAGACTACAAAACTAAATTCATGTATATATATACGTATATATATATATATAGTTATATATATACACACTTATTCCTTTGTTAAGGTCCATCCTTAGCATAAATATAATCAAATTAATTTACAAATAATTCTCTAAAGTCGTTCTACAGATGAATCGAAACACAAAAGACAAAGGGAATGAGTAGAACAAAGACTTGCCTTAAAATTTTGGGTCAAAATCCTTAGTCTTTCCTCTCTGATTTCCCTTCTCTCTATTTCTTCCTCTCTCGTCGCCGCCCTCTGTTTCGTGCCTTTTTTTTTTTGTTCGTTTGCTATGTTTCTAATACCCAGGTAATGAACTATATATATAAATAATAAAATAACCTAAAGTGATTCCACACTACCCACCTACATCCAACCACACCATACCACACCCATATATGTTACAACTTTCAGCCAACCCACTTTTACCTTGTACAGCCACTAATTGTTACAACATTATCAATAATAAAAATAAATAAAAACACAATTCAACTTCCAATTCAACAAACTGTGCACTTATATTTTATCTAAACCACACACCAATGGCACGTCCCACATTGAAATCTAATTAGGGGTGAGCAAATAATCCGTCAATCCATCAATCCGGTTCGAACCAATCCGATCTATGTTGTTCGGTTCGGTTTTCAGATCTCATGGTTCGGTGATGATTTGAAAATTTTACAATCCGGTATTCGCGATTCTGTTAACGGATTGGATCCTGAAAAAATCGATCTGAACCGTTAACCGATCCGAACCGAACCGTTGCCTATTAATATTATATATATATATATATATATATATATATATATATACACACACACACACAATATTAAATATACTTATTACTTACCACCGTATTTTGTTTTTTCTTTTATTCATTATTCTTTTAAGTTAACCCTATCTTACTCCCATCTCATTTCATTACACTTCAGCCGCGCCTCCGTCCCTGAGCCTCTTCTCTTCAGTCTTCTCTCTTCACCCTCTTCTTTTCGCCTTTGTGACTCTCTCTTCAATCTTCACTATTTGCCTCTGTCTTCTTCCTCTTGTGTATATATATATATATATATATATATATATATATATATCATCGTTGAGATCTATATCTGTGTACAATAAGCCGATGTTCTGGAATATAAGAATGAAGGAAGCATGGTAAAGTGCACAGAGAATGAAGGGTCATCATGTCTTCCCCTCTGATGCTTCTAGCTTTTTGATTTGGGGGCCTGGATCAGTCCTACATCTATATTTATTTTTTTGTTTTGCTATAAATCTCTTACACTTTCCGAAAAAAAAAATACATATGCTGGTAAAGTCTTATTATATCATTCTTTGTATTTTCTTGTATCATGTTCCTTGGTTAATTAATTTTGTTTTGTTCGTTTGATATAGATTTTCTGTTAACAAGCACTGTTAGGTGTTCTAAATCTTTATCATCTTGGTGACTCTTGTTATTCCTTGTTTTGATTTTTCCATATCTGAATTCCTTTCTTTGGTATATTTAGTTCCTTGTTTTGATTTTTCCAGATCTGACTTGTTTTGATTTTTCCAAATCTGAATTCCTTTCTTCGATATATTTAGTTTTTACTTTGGGTTCAGATATAATATTGTTTTGGAGATCTAATATCGTAGTAAGTTAAATGATAAGATTTAAGTTTGTTTTATGCCCAATCCGTGGAAACCGGTCCGGTCCAATCCGTGAAGTAACGGATCGGTTTGGTTCAGATTGAAGGCCTCCACGAATCGGTTCGGTTTCAATTTTCACCAATCCGTGGGGACTGGTTCGGCTTGAACTTTATCCCCAAACCGATCCGATCCAATCCGAAACGTGATCAGGCCTAAATCTAATGATATAATATTTTAATAATTTAATAGTACAATTACACGTGCAAACTTATAATAATAAATTAACATCATAATTTCCTTAAACTACCGTGTGCATATACTTTATCTATATGCACGCCTACATCCATATATATATATTTGTAAATATATATATATATGTAAACACATTAATATAGTTTATATATATTTATTTATAATATGCTAAATATATCCATATATATATATGTGTGTATATAACACTTTTATATATATATACCTACCTACCCATCCACACAATTTACTAAAAATAAATAAAAATAACCTTAATGAAAATTTACAATTAACTACAGAATTACTACAAAATAATTACATTTAAATAACACATAAATAAACACACCAACAACTCCAATTAGCCAAGTAAATAAAATAAAATAAACACTAAATAATTAATATTGAAATGACAACCAAATAACAACCAAATAAAATCCTAAAACAAATGCACAAACAATTCAAATAGCCACGTAACCAAATATAAATGAAATAAAATAAATAAATAAAAACGTTGAAATTTAGGAGTATTACAATCATTGTACCCAACGAGGTACTTAACTAATGGTCACCAAACTATCATCTATCAAATGTTGGGCACCAAGCCCCCATCCACCAGGCATCAAGCCGATCGCTGGACACTAAGCCTCCACCTACCATACGCCGATAGTCACCTCTCTTCCCTTGCAGGAAATGCCCATCGACTCCAGATTATGCAAAATTTTGGATCAATAATCCATTGTAAGTTAATTTTCATAAATCATTTCTAACACAATATAACATCTTAGACAACTGTAAATTATTGCAGTACCATGCACGCTGTCCGTTGTATAAACGTCTATAGAATGGGTCATCACCCAAGATCCTACCATCATAATGGGGGCAGAATAGTGGATCACATGATATCAATCGTCGATCTACATATGATGACAAGGTTTAGAAGACTGGCGTACCAAACTCGGTACATCGAGCTAGCCGGGTTTTTGGTCTCTCTCCCCTTGCGATCCCTCGGGGGTACCAGTCGTCCAATACCAATGCCCGATCCTTTAAAACCATAGCCTGGTAAGTCTCTACACACCGGGAAGGACTTTAAGTCCAGTGAAGTTTCTATAATTATGAGTCCACCGTGTCCAATATGGTCCTATGCCCAATGAGGTTTTTAACCAACGAGCACCAATGATGGTCTCTTCTACCAGGAACTATGCTTAGTCACATGCATTTCAAATCTGACTAGTTATTACCACCATAGCCACAAAGCAGGGCAAGCATAAATGATATGTTCACGAAAGTAAAAAACTTTTACCCCCTTATTAAAGGGCATGTTCATTGAACTAAAAAAAAATGACTATTCCCTTATTAAAGGGTAAGCTTATAAAGTTTGGGCAAAACATCCCCTTATTAAAGGGGCGAGTTGGGTGAAGCTCGTAAAAGTAACCCTTTATTAAAAGGGCGGGCTGAGTGAAGCTCAAAATCATTATTTCCCTTATCAATAGGGCAAGCTGAGTGAAGCTTGAACATATTATTGAAGATGCAAGAAATTTCTTTTTTCATTTTGACAGAGTATCTATGCATTTCAAGAATTTTTTGATCCATTTTCCCTCTATTTTTCGCTTATTTATAAGTTGTTACATGTCTTTTAGAAGTTTCTCACCAACTCCTAGTGTTGGGCCTCCTCCTAGGCTTCTTAAGCTAAGGGCCTCATTAGATTTAGTGAATCCTCCACTGTTTCTTTAGCTTTGGGCCTGTACTGCTGATGGCCTGGTTCGGATCTAGGTCAATTGTCAAGCCCATTGCTCATCATATGGGCTGCACCCGGCCCAAGCCATTTTCGGCATCCTCAATTGCACCCATAATCATTCCCTCATTAATGAGGGAGTGATTATTAATGGAAACCAATCATGATTAGGCGGCTCAAGACGATTGTATGGGGGAGCGAGCAGTCAGTTCAGGATTCGATATTTTAAAATTCGAAAACTCTTTAGTTTCCTGGCATATCGGCTTTCGGGTCCACTTTCCCTTTATAAGCCCTCATGATGTACCATCAGCCTTCTTTACCGTCTCTATCACATCTCATTGTCAACCAAGTCCTTATTCATCTTTTTCAAGCAAGTCAAACTTTTCTCGGCGAATTCCTACAAGAGAATCTCCGTTTCCAGCAATCTCGCAACGTGTTTCGCAGCCTTCAATCCCTCGAGGTTAGTCTTGCTACCTTTTTCCTTCTTAAAATCTTTGTATACTCCCCTAGGGATTGCACTCGTTCTCATCATGTCCATCGATTTGGATGTTCTTCGCATAAAACTTCGATTCCCTAACAATATTCATCTTAGGGAATGTCCTAAAAACATAAACATCAAAACTGGTGCTGGCCTTCTTCCCAACGAAACCTTGTTTTCCCTTCACCACCTAAACATCATTAGACTCCCTCTACATCCTTTCTTCTATTACGTGTTCAATAAGTTAAATTTTTCCCCTCTCCAAGTTAATCCAAATTTTCTTAGGGTTATATCCGTTCTGCTACTTCTGAATAGTGATAGAGGCCTAGATCTTGATATAATTGATCTTCACCTTTGCTACAAGGTCAACAAGATCAAGTTAAAAGAGTCATATTACCATTTCTACCCTATCGATAAAAGATCCATCTGAACGGACAAACTTAAATCTGAGAAAGGGTGGAAGAAGGATATAGTTGGGGTTTGGGGGGTTTGGTTTGCTCCAGCTGCCAAGGATTATCTAGTCCCGAACGCCTTTGGCGAATGCTCTATTTCTTCTTACAAAAAGTTCAAGAACCATACGACCGACTGCCCTTGTAAAATTTACACTCCCCACTTTTGTTCTTTTCTTTGCAATTCTCTAGGTATCTCACTGAATAACGAACTCAGTTACTGCATTTGCAGGGATAGGGTTACATATCTGAAGGAACACGTACTGAACAACGTCCCCTCTTGTTCAGAGCTTCTTACATCTGAGAATCTTAGTGACATTTCACTCCTCGGCACTACAATGAGCTAACTCCAGATCCCTTCCTTCAGCAGGAAGAAGGACCCTCCTAGGGCCGTTGTTGCTTCTGCAGCCACTTCCTCTCCAGCTTCGGCATCCTCCCCTGCTACTACCTCCAGCACCACTCTGAACGTGGTGGCTGTCAATCCGATTATCACCGCCCCACCTGCCAACCCGAACGTTGTTCCTCAAGTTCAGAATCCCTCTGTCCCCATTGCATCCGTTCAGGATAAGAAGCGAGGAAAAAGGCCTCAGCCTGACAGTGAAGGCAGCCCTGATGATGTTCCTCTAACAAGGAGGATTCG